AATCAATGATTTTCGTGCACATGTAGCTGAAAAAAAAAATCGATGACATTTTCAGTTGTGTGCCAGCATGAAATCAGAGAATCATAGAATCATTTGGTTGGATAAGACCTTTAAGGTCATCGAGTTCAACTGTACCTGCCCACTACTAAACCATGTCTCTAAGCACCTTATCTACCCATCTTTTGAATACTGCCAGGGATGGTGACTCAACCACTTCCATGGTGCTCCTTGAGGCTGTTTCCTCTTGTCTTATTGCTTGTTACTTGGGAGAAGAGACTGACACCCACCTCGCTACCACCTTCTTTCAGGTAGTTGTAGAGAGTCATAAGGTCTCCCCTCAGCCTCTTCTTCTCCAGGCTAAACAACCCCCATTCCTTCAGCTGCTCCTCATCAGACTTGTGCTCCAAATGCATCTCTGTTCATACCAAGCTGAGTTAGAAACAAAAATGCAAGGAAAAAAGCATGTGCTCAACAAACCAGCTGAGTAACAGTGTTTCTGCTGTAATTTTTTACAGTGGAAAGCAAATATCTTAGTGGCATTTCATACATTTACTGCCACAGAGAAGTTTTTTTTTAAAATCATGTATTGTTAATATCCCTGGAAAGCAATCACTTTTCCTAATCAAGTACACAAAAGTCTTTTATCATTTGTGTAAACTGTGGTTTGTATATACATGCAGGCTAACATTATCTTGGATGCTTCAAAATCTGATGCTACTCAGCTTTGGGCCATTTTTACAGATCTATTGAGTATCTTTAATTTGGAAGAACGGATGCTTATTTTGAAGTGGAGTCGTTCAAAACCAATGGCTGCTTTTCAAAATGTTTGATGATAATGTGCATGATAAAACCTGTAAGAGCTTCAGCTTTTCCAAGAGTTTGAAGATACAAATAGGGGGTTTTTTGGTGTCATTTGGATCAGCACTTGTTTGATAAAATCTGAATCTCACACAAACTCCTTGCAGGTCTAGCTGCATAGCTGAGAAGCCTGGCTGTTGTCTGCTTCCTCCATCTATCTTCAATACCCATGCCAGCCATGGAAAAGCAGGACAGAGGGAGGCTGCGCGGCTCAGTTTCTAGGTCAGAAACCAGGAATTCTTGTTTCCCTTTTAAAGCTCTGTTGGCTCATTTCCCAACTTCTCTGTGTGTTGTTTTCCAGCCTGTAGAATAGAGACTATATTCTACTGGTAACAATTTCTGAGTTCTGAAAATATTTAGGTCTTAAAAACTGTGCGTAGCTGCTGCATCATTGTCAACTCTTGGGTAAGCACCAGAACTAGTTGTGTTTGTAGAAGAGCCAGGGAAGCAGGGTCTGCAGATTTCACATCTGAGAGTGACCCAAGACATATTGTGGGCTTGTTTTCCCTGCTACTTCCGACCTGTCTAGGTTGTTCTCTGAGTGCTGCCCAACGCTGCTCTTTCCATGCCTGCTCCAGTTTCTGCAGAAGCCCTGAATTAATCCACCTGTGCTTTTTGTTTTACTGCTTCACCCATAGTATTTAAAAAAACAAACAAAACAAAACAAAACACCTGGGTACTGTATGAATGCAAGTCCTAGCAAGCCTTGCACATTCTTTATAACATACTATTCCTTGATATTCAAGTGCCCTTGCCTTGCATGGTATTAAGGAGTTATGACTACTCCTGACATTCCTAATATTGAGGAAAAATTGTTATCCTACTCGTACTCTCTACAGTGAGATACTGGTATATAAGGCATGCTGGATTCCACTGTGCTGATCTTTGTCCACCACAGTCTTATACTACAGCTTCCCTTTTGTCACTTGAAAAATTATTTCTGAAGTAGTCATTTTACAAAGTTTTGCAAAATATCAGCATTACTATTATATCAGAGCATGTTCTCTTCTAAATTAACAGTATAGAATCATGGAAATGTTGGCCTAAAAGGGGCTTTAAAATGATCTTTTTGTCTATTTGCTGTATGCCAGTATGCTGTGCATATTAGGTATACCTGTATCCAAAGTCATACCTGATCATTCTCTGATCTGTTTGTTAAAACCTCTAGTGAGGGAGAACTATGTGTATTTTTCTTCTTTGATATTAAGAAAATTGCCCCTGTCATCCAGCTGAAATAATCTCTGTTGGAAAGTAACCATTTCTGCTCATCCTCCTCTAGAGGACACGGGAAACAATTATTACCGTCCTTTACAATAACCATTGATAACAACAAAGTCAGTTAAAATGATTCTTGGCAGTCTCTGTTTTCTGAACTAAACAAACACAGTTACTTAAGCCCTTCCTGTTATGTTGTATTTTCTTCCTCATGTAATTTTTATTCCTGTTTTCTAGACTCCTCAGGAACTCACCTGAGATCTTGTTTGTGCTGGATAGAACAGAACAGAACTAAGTAATTACCTCTCAGGATATTGCTACTCCATCTGAAAACAGGATCTCCCTTTTTCTGCAGCACCATTGTGGGGCTGGCTGGTATTACACCTACCTTTTTTTTTTTTTTTTTTTTTTTTTTTTTTAAATGCTACAGTAGCTAGTTACAGCCAGCTGTATTTTATCAAGAAGTGATTTCCTGGTTTTCATGCTACAAACTGTCAGTTGCTAATGTATTCAATGCTGGTTAAAGTAGCAGTTTTGTTGCCAGGCTATTTAAGGGCAAGGTGACTTGTCATGGACCCTAAGAATTGGCAATGTTGTGTGGCTGCTTCTGCAATAAGGAGACCGGTGCAGAAATCTTCCCAGAGGGGATTTCTGGCAGCATTTAACAGCATGGGCATGTCCTTCCCTCCCGTGCACTCTTGGATTGTTAACAGCCTCACAGATCGGATCTTTTGTGCATTCAGCTCAGCACAGTGGCTTTTGCCTTGCACTGTGACCTCTGTGCAAAGTGCAAGGGGTTGTCCAGGTGGGTGATGGGCTGATCTGGGTTGATGGCAGAGAAGGAGAAATGCTGGGGTGGTGCCCTGGAGCTAGAGGTGCGCTCCGCCTCCCTTAATCTGATTGCATTTACAGCTCCCGCTTGCAGCCTAATGAGGCCGGCGCCTCTTGTACCGTGTGTTAGGTAGGTTGTTGACCTGCAGTAGGGAGATGCTGTCATCTCCAACCCCTCTTCCCAGGCATGAATGGTTCCTCTTAAAAATTCTGCAATCAGGTGGGTTTACAGGGTCAAGATGGAGGGGCAGGTTTTACACTGGGGAAAAAAAAAAAAAAATGGGAACACGTGATGGGCTGTAAGTAACAAGAGAGGCAACGTTTTATAGAAAGACACAAGATGCAGAGAACAAAGGAAGACTTCGATTTGAGACCTAGAGAATGAGAGAGAAACAGGAAAGCTTTTGAACTGCCATTAACAAAGGCTGCTGAGACCCGCAGGCAATACCCACTGCTTTGGGTCGATCTCATTGTGATGAGTGATCTCTCGGCTGGTGAGTGCCTTCTGTTGGTATGTTATCTGTAAGGTCCAGTCTGTCCTGAGGGTAGAATGCTTTCATCCTGCCTGTATGCCTCCAGCCTGGCCTACCAAAAATACCTGCAAAATACAAAACCCAGCGAGTAGTAGTAATGCTAAATACCACAGATACCAAGGATACAACCCTCCCGAACTGGGTAGCAGTATTACCAGGCATGCTGTTCCCTCCTGCCTTGGCAGATATTACTTGGAACAGCCTGTGCTGTGGGTTCTGTTGGGAGGGGAGTGGGAGATGGAGGGTATGCTGTTGTAGAGCTGCCTAACTTGGTGCGTGCAAATGTGTCCATGCAGATCTGTAACTGGCAGTATTTTCAGTCCCATGCCCTCAGGATGTGTTAGTCGCAGAAAATAAAATTGCAAATAAAACTGATGACAATTGAAAAGAGACAAGCTGAGGCTGGGTGTTTTTATGCTGGCTCCGGAGTGTGAAGTTCAATTCACGGCCACGGTCAAGCTGATTCCAGAACACCCACAGCTGGATCGGGAGTCCCTCCGCTACCGTCCGGTGCGGGCCGGGTGGGAGGGAGATCTCTGCCTCGAGGGAGGTAAAACGCGCCGGGGGAGCTCCGGTGCGAGCCCTTCCCATCCGCGGCAGTGCCCGCCGCACCGGGTCCCGTCTGCCTCGCACCCAGGTCGCGCCGCTCCCGAGTGGGGAGGGAGCGGGGGGAGGAGACCTGCTCGGGG